TAAATATATTTGATTAAAAATAAAATTATTTAAATCAAAAGAACTCATTGAAAATAAAAGCTTTTCAGAAAATATATAGTAATTTGAATGAACATTCTAATATTCAATTTTTTTATTTAATATAATACATTTACAGCTTAATTATGTTGATTGAAATACATGTCGCAATCAAACTTTATTTTAAAAAAATATTAATATACATGTTAAAAATTGATATACGATTTAGGACACTTACTATTTATATAAAATTATTATCATAGAAAAATTTCAGTTTTAAAAATTTGTATTGTGATCGTAAAATAAGACGAATATTTGTAGACCACGATAAAAAGAGATTTTAATAGCATAAAATCATATTTTATTATACAATTACAACATTATTTTATTTTTTTTAAGTATACGATATAATATGACTTATTTCCATTATCCATTAGTCTTTAATAATTAATTTCTATGGAAAATCAATGTCATAACCTGAGTTTCAATAGCATATAAGAACATTAAATCAATTAATCGACTATCCCATAATGACATTCCAAGGCACAGTATCACTTCAAACATATAAATATCAAATAATCCAATAATCTAATCCAAGGTATCTAAGAAACTTTTAAAATTATTTGAATCATGTAAAAGATTAATATTTTTTAAAAGTCTTGATAATTCATTTTAGATATTTGTATTCTATTATATACAATTATATAAGTACACAGAGAGAAAGAGAGAGAGAGAAAGAGGAGGGTAGAATAAAAATTATTTACCGGATTACGATGGCAAGTGTTCTTCCAAACACACGCGGCTACACTAGCTGGATCACGTTTTCCATCCCTTACGGTGCTTCTTCGATCTTCTCTAAGACATTAGATCGCACTTTTTCTCACAAGGCTGTCTCGCCGAAACCTCGCGAGCACGCGAGTCCGTGATAAGCAACAAGAGGCAAAATCAATCCTTTAACGGACCCACCGATCCGGTGTGTAGTCCGGGGTGCACTAAAGTGGCGAACACTCGGAGCCGCATCGGCTGTTCGCGTTAAAATGAGGGTGCCGTTCGCGCATCCCCCGTATTTAGGGGTAGCCGTCGCAGAGGGTAGCGCGATCGTGGCAGGTGGAGGCGCAACAAGGGTGGCACCGGCCAATGGCGACGTTCGCAATGTTATACGGGGGTGGAGCGTAGCAAAGGGGTGAACATATTCGCTCGTCGGGATGCGTCTGCTAACAGCATCCAGACCACGCCTACATATTTCAGGTTCGACACATGTGCCCGGGATTGTTGTCGTCGTCGTCGTCGTCGTCGTCGTCGTCGTCGTCGTCGACGTCGTCGACTCTTGCCATCCCCTCTTCCTCCGCCCGACTTTGCCTTACCCTCTCCGCGTTGCGCAACGCGTTCCGCAGAATTCTGCTTCGCCAGGGTGGCAAAGAGGATGGCAGGAGGAAGGAGGGGAATTGGTACGACCGAGGGCTGTAATTCAGCCTGACAAACGATCTTGAATATTTTTAACGCCCGCGTCCCGATCTCCGCTCCTTTTTTATGGCCGACTCATGGCTATATTGGACGTTCGGCAGACGACCCGGGTCTACCGATGAAGATACGATGACGATGGGGCGAATCCGTTTGAGAGAAACTTTGAAAATTGTTTCGCGAGAAATTATCATTTATCGTAAATTGATTGACAAGTAACTTTATGCATATTTATATATTGTATTATTTCTGTTCTTTCAGTACACATATTATCAATTATTTTCTTTCCTTTATAATTAATTTTACAATTAATTACAAAGACCGCATTTTCGATTTTGTTCACGAAATGTTTCTTAAATTACTTTTTATTATCTGTTCATTATTATTTTGCCCATTTCGAGTGTACAATTATTAAAACACTATTTCATCAACACAAATCGTTTGATTTAATTTTTTTCATGAGATTCCGCGCGTAAACCTCGAAATAAGTCAAGACGGGTGGCATCGTAGTTTCATGTCGGAAAAATAACTCCCGATACAAGCGGATAAAGTGGGCAAAAACCAGCCACGGAGCCAATAGGCGATCAATCATACGCCGGTGATCTATTTTACCGGGCATGTGAGAGCCGTCGATTTCTTACGCGATTCCCGAGATCCCGGCAAATCCTACGGGGAATGCCGCGAGGTTAAAGGACATTAACTTCTTGATTGAGTCGGCAAAAAGTTGTAATGACTTTTCGATTGGCGCTATTCTGTATCCGGCGCCGAGACTTGTGAACTAGTATTTACTAGGAAGAACATCACCGTTTCTTATATCTCTTATACAGGATACCTCAGAAACATTGGGAGATTCTTTTCTTTTTTTTACTCACCGATACACTGAAGATCCGAATAAGAAAAGTGGCAGTTACGTGTCTCAGTATACAAAAATCAATGATTAAGAAGTTATTGAAAATTAAAAGATCCGATCGCGCAAAACAATCTCAGTAATACGATAAATTCGAACGCCACGAACGGCGAGATGCTCCCTTGGCGATGATTCTTCGGCGATTCACGCACGGAATAAATTAAACTATCCGCCTCATGTGCAGCAGATAGCGCGATGCGCGATACAGCCGACGGTCTAATCCTAATTCGGAGTCGTAAAGTCGCGAGGGAATCGTTACGACGACGTTACATGTGACACGCGTCGCACGACGGGGCGGCTATGAAACGTCTCTGTATCTTGGCACAGCCATTCCTGGATTATGAACTATATTTATTGCCGATCATATACAGCACCGTTCCCTGTGAACTCGAAGAGATGGCGATATACCGATCTCTAATTCCATTTTACACCCTTCTGCCTCGCTTCGCGTAAAACAGCGTTTTTGAGAAAAGAAACTTTACTCTTTTTTATCCTCCTCCTTCTTTTTCATCCTATCCTCCAACGATATAATATGCGAAATGTCACAGAAAAGAGATAAAAGAAATGTGCTCTAAATTCTGATTGATTGTAAATTGCTTTTGCTTAAAAAAGAGTAAAAACTTTAATTAATGTATCTACTAAATTTTAAAAACTATTGGTGAACTCGAAGAGATGGCGATATACCGATCTCTAATTCCATTTTACACCCTTCTGCCTCGCTTCGCGTAAAACAGCGTTTTTGAGAAAAGAAACTTTACTCTTTTTTATCCTCCTCCTTCTTTTTCATCCTATCCTCCAACAATATAATATGCGAAATGTCACAGAAAAGAGATAAAAAAAAATGTGCTCTAAATTCTGATTGATTGTAAATTGCTTTTGCTTCAAAAAGAGTAAAAACTTTAATTAATGTATCTACTAAATTTTAAAAACTATTGGAAAATCATTAATTTAAATGATGATATATATTATATTCTCTTCTCGCGTCACACATCCTTTTTCTACTATTTTATCCTACCCCTATTCTCACGAAACTGTAACGCGCAAACTGAAAATTCGTCTCACTTAGTTTACAATCTAAATCTCTCAAGTATAAAAATACGCTGTGCGCGTGAGAATCGCACTTTGCCACCGTCTGGCCATGTTATCCTGTAAATCGGGCAGAAAGAGGGCAAGTTTCGCGCCGCCTAATTCGACCAAGTTAAACGCACGAGCGGACGAGCCGACGGCGCTCGACACGTGGCAGACACGCGTGAGCTGTTAACACCGAACGTGGGTTCGTCAAAGGGCCGTTTAACACCGATGTTTGGTGCTGCATAGGGCAGCACTTTGACACAGATAGTATCTGTTACGTAGGTCCACGAACCGGACACCTTACATAATGCGTATACGTCGGCTCGATTGACTCCTGCACAGGAGAAGTTAATATGTCGTCGAGCAAATGTTTCCATGTGATCGCGTATCACGCAGATTCACGTGCAAGAATTATAAGAAAATGTATTTATTTTGGAATTTTATTTTATTTTTTATTATCAAAAATGTAAAAAATAAGAAAAAGATATATTTAAAATTTTTCAATTGCTAATTAATTTATATCGAATAATTTATACAAATCTCTACGTGTATTCGCATATATGTATTTATCTGAAAACAAATCATCGTAAAAATTCTGGAAATATTTTAATTGTGTGAAGAGAGAATATAATTTTCTCTATATGAAGCTTTCCCTTTTTTTCAAGTGTAGAGGAGTCTACTTTTCGTGCGTTATTTGAACTTGTTTTTTCGTGGTGTTTTATGCCATGCTTTGCGCTTCGCAAAGGGAGTAATGTCATCCACTTTTCGCATCGCTGACGCGGCTGCAAGTGCAGCGCGCGTTTCTGTCGGGGCGGCACGTGATAAATATGCAGTCGATGCAGTTGATGAGAAAAGGTCGTTTATCAATCACCCATTAACACAGCCCCGCCGAAAACCTGCTCGCTTCTGAGCCATATTTCACAGAATCATCGCGATTCCCTTCCGGCCGCTTTGGCCGCATGCTCGGTTTTCCATTAAAATTTACCATCCGTGTTGTTCAAAAGCAAGAAACGTGTAGAAGCAAAAATTTATATCGGTACTCGATAACCAATCTATCAATAATTAAATATTAGTAAAAATGTCGTAATAATCTTCCGTGATTTTCTATTTTACAAGAAATTAAAGAGACAATAATTTAAAAAATCAAAAATTTATAAATTAGAAATTCTAAAAGTTAGTAAAATTCAAAATATCTCAAAACTCTGTCAATATTTCAATATGTAGAGACCTGAAATTTTGAGAAACTATGATATGTACGTTATATTAAACAGATTTTATGTATGTGAATAATATATGTCTCTCGTCTCTAATTTAAAATTGTAATTTATTTGACCCTTTTGCAGATTTGTATAAAGCAAAATATACGCGGGATGAAAAAATACAGTGAGAGATGAGAAAAGGTTAGTGGTTCTTCAGGAATTCTTGAAACAGGGTGGTCTCGGCCTGACAAATTGAATGTGCGATAAGTTCAGAGGATTGTTGAAATAACTGGGCGTGGTGTACATACTCACGGTGAGAGGAGAGAGATTGCCGAGATGAGAGCGGGAGATTCAGATTTTACGGACGTTTAGGCGATTCCTTGACTTATAGCCGGGACCATGCATACCAAATGAATCGACTATGCTATTTAAACACTCTCGTAATTTTGTTGTGCCGAAATTCTTGCGAAAGAAAATATCCATTAGAACAAATTAAACAAACATTATCGATAATTCATATCGCAAATAAACGGTCTTTTATATTCTAACAATTTATTAAACCTTTAGATGTGCTTTATCGAACGACTAAATTGATTAATTTTGTCTTATAAATAAACTGCATTCGCGTTACGATGTCCTTTAGCAACGTCTTACCTACTGCATCAGAATTCTCAACGCCATTCTTCCCCCACGCATCTCCCCCTATCTATCCGTCTATCTGTTCTACGAGAGAAGTTTGTCGCGCTCTTGTTGATATCGTCCCAGCGATATCGAGTCGCGCGCACGTTCTCTCTCTTTCTCTCTCCTCCTCTCTGCGGTTGCTCCGGGGAATTTAATTCTATTCTATTCGAAGCAGCGCCTAAGATGCCACCTTCGGCTCTTATCTCTGTGCACACGGTGGGTTGCGCGTGGCGGTTGCTTATGTGTTACGTGAATACCTTACCTAAATGCCGCCGTCGCGGGAGAAACGTCTCTTGCGTGCCCGTTTCGCGAAGCAGCCACCCCCGAGGCGGGTGAGCAGCGTCGCGCGAGGGAGTCGACCGAGGAAAATTAATGCGACTTCCAGCCGGGCGCTATCGGACGCCGCTATCTCGCGCCTCGACCGCGCGCCGTAAACGTGAGCCGCCTAGACGAGAAGTTCCCGAATTTAAGCGATGAAGTCGCGCCGAAAGTGACGCGCGCGATTCTGACTTTATGC